AGGGAAGGAACGAAATTGAAAAAAAAGGGGGAGGGATAACAAAAAAAAATAAATACAACTCCCTTATTAGAATAAAAAATTTTTATTTTCATGCAAAAAGAGAATATAAAAACCTGCCCAGTATACAGAGAGGCGTTATATGGCACTGTTGGAGGTAGATAAACGGCCCTCAGAATGAACCATGAAAAAGCAACTCTGAAAACAAATGAAAATAATTAGTTTTCCGTCTATATGAATCATATGAGGGAGAAGAAAAGAATCCCTGCATATGAGAGGTATTAGAAAAAAAAAATACTAACCAATCAGTCAAAAAAAAAAAGAATCTGGGGGGAGAGGAAGCGAAACCCTAGCCGTTCGTGTTCTGCGCCTGGTACTGCCAAAATACACCGAGCGATTCCTCGACCCTTTAGGCCGACCAGCACCTGGCCTAAATCCACCCCGCCCCCGTTTCACAGTTCCACCCCTAAGAATACATTGCAAGGATCGAGGAACAGCCGCAGAACCAACAAGTCCACCCTGAGCCTCGTTAGACGTACCGGGGCGAGCCTCAAAGGAGGTACCGGGACGAACCTCAAGGGACTCATCCTGAAGAGCCACGAGAGAATCATCGATGGCATCAGGGAGCTCATCCTCAGGGGAAGGATGATGCTCGGGCAACGGCCCAATGGCACCATCCCGATGCACCGAAAGGTCATCATATAAAGAGGACACATTCCCCGACCGGGACATACAGGAGCGAATCATTCCCTTCATGACCGAAGTCAAAGCCCCTGCATGCCCCACAGCAGGTGGACGATGGACGAGAAGCCAATTTTGGATGGTACTGTCCAGATGAGTTACAGTAACCTGGCCTGGACGATACACACGAGATCGCCTAGCCGACTGACACCGACCATTTAACACCGAAGGCTTAACAACCCTTCGGCTGATCCCAGAACCACCTGAAAAAGAACAAATTTTAGATAACAAAAAAAAAAAAAAAAAAAAAAAAAAAAAAAAAA